AAGTCTGACCAACTGACTAAGAAGCCAACACAATTTGATGTCAGCAACTGGACATTACAGCCCAATTCTAGGGTGGTGCTGAAAATCAAGACAGAGAAATTTCCTAGCATTTTAAACATTTTACCCCTTCTGTGATTTGGATGTCCCTGATAAGACTTGTTTTTAAATAGGAGCTTTGTTGTCAGGTTTTAAGAAGGTAGAAATACAATCAGACTGGAGTTCAGAGGCAGGGCATTTGAGAGTTAAAGGAGACCATGAAACTGCAGTCCTAACCCAGTGGTTCCATGGCTTTATTAGAAAATAGGCCTGCGCTATGCCATCTTGGGATTCTGCAGAATTCTAACTACCAAGAAGGACTTCATGAGATACAGCTACAGGATCTTGAGCTTCCCAGCCTTCAGCTCTTGAGCTGAGGCAATTCATTTATGATAAAAGCATCTTGAATGTTCTAAGAGACTGGAACTTTTGCTGGACCTCTCATCTGGAGTTAACAATATGATCACTTTAAGGCTGCTGTCCTACTGTGTGTTCAGCCGGTTTGTTTAAGCTGCTTTTAAGAGAACAATGTTCTAACCTTGCCTTACTTGCCTTGGACCTCCCAGCTTCCCCCAGATACATAGATGCAGTCCTGTGTGTTCTCCCTCACCCCTCACCCAGAGCAATGCACGTGTGTCACTTGCAAAAAACAGCAAGAAGGGAGGTTGAGAGCCATCTTATGAAACAAATGTCCTCCATAAATCTGGAAGACAACATTCAGATACTGCTTGACAAACAATGATCTTTGCATGTCTGTTTTCTGTGCCATTTGGGGTCAGTTGGAATCCGTGACTTAACCTCTTGTAAAACTCTATTAAAAGCTTCTGTGAAGTATCTCCCATTCCATCCCCCATGCGACATTTTCCACCCTGTTCCACAAATACAACCCTGAACACTTGAAGGGATTGTGGTGGCCACAGATTGAAGGAATCTTCAGGAAGAGCAGTACAGGATCTTTTTTTTTTTTTTTCCAGAAGGTTGTTCTGGGCTTAGATTTGCTGATCTTGTTTATCAGACATCCACCCACACCAGCTTTTATAGACTTACTGAATGCTTATTCACCGCTTGGGTTTTTCACTCCATACTGGTTCTCATTGAGAAACCTAATTGATCATCGTCTTTATCATCATCATCATCACTATCATCATCATCATCACTTTGTAATTCAGAACAGAATAGACCACACTGGCCTAAAATTCCTGGCACTCCTGCCCCAGCCTCTGGAGTGCTAGGATTATAGGCACGAGCTACTCTGCAAAGCACAGAAGCTATTTTTATAGCAAAGGTGAGGAAGCAATTGCCTATACTACGTTGCACATAGACGTTGTATTCCAGACCCCAAGTGGAGCTTGGGAGACAATGTTTATGAAGTGCAGCACCACTGCCCATGCTGTGTCCGCGCGTTCTGCACCCTCACAGTGCCCATGCTGTACCCGCGTGTTCTGCACCCTCACAGTTAGACAGAGTTGAAATACTGAACACTGACAGACAGCTGCTTCTTCTCATTAGGCCCTAAACAGGACAGTGTAACAACTGAATCTTAATTTGCATTGTGCTAGGTATTGAATGTAATGTAGCTATGACTCCAAGTGCAGGGTGGGGCACATGTAGGTCATAAGCAGGAGCTTTATCATTTCTGTAAGGGATTTGAGCACCAGCAGATTTCAGAGAAGCCTGGAACCAGTGTCACACAGACGCTGAGCAATAGCTTTCTACACTGAGCCAACACCCACTCTTTCCTCCATACTCTGAGTATGCAGGTCTGAGTTTAAGGGGTGACATCAGGAGAAATAGTTCCTTAACGACCACTTAAGGAAAAACTGTTCCTTAGCCCTAGGACTGAGCCATGGGTCTAAAAGCCTGAGAAAAGCCCCCACCAGCTGTAGCTGCCTGCGGCCACAAATCAACTGAGTTCACCTGAAAGGGGCTGGGAACGAAAGGTTAACAAGAGGTCGAAAAGAGATGAAGCCAAGACAAAGTTCTCTGATCAAGGCTCTATGCTTTAATGTTCAGCTTTTCAATTTAAAGGGAAAAACCCTGCCTGAGCCCTTCCTAGTTTCAGCAGAAGAGATGGGTGGGATGATCCATTCTTGGTCACAGTCTTGGCCAGAGATATCTCAAGGCAAGCCCAGGGGCAGTTCTTCTTTTAAGTTCCATGCAGCCAAGGTGGGTAACTCCACCTAGATCCTATCACTTGGTCTGTTGTGGTAAACAAGGTCTCTCAGGCCTGCTCAAGGCCTGGGGAAGGGCACAACCAGCAGAAAACAGCAATTCTTGGATAACTTAGCAGCAATCACCGCTGACTGGTCAGTGTAGTCTCCTTGTGCTGCTTGAAGAAGGAAAAATTCAAGTGATGGGAGTGCACGCCTTTAATCCCAGCACTGGGGAGGCAGAGGCAAGCAGCTCTATGAGTTTGAGGCCAACCTGGTCTACAGAACGAGTTCCAGGATGGCCAGGGCTACATGGAGAAACCCTGCCTCAACAACAACAGGACTGAGAAGAACGCTCTTGGAGTTAGGCCGAGGAGACTCAGTAATGAGAAAATGATGGAAAAGACAACAGAGAGTCCCTTGGGGTTCCACCATGTCTTATAACAACAAAAACCAGTGTGAGGATCTCTGAGGCTCCGACCTTTGTGGGTAAATGTTTGGGCCATTCTATTAACCAAAAGATCCCATCAGCCAAAGGGTTGGCTTAAAAAAGCAAGCACGTGGAACAGGAAACGGATGAGAAAAGTGGTTTAGAAAGTGTGCTTCCTCACCAGGTGTAGAAATGAACACCACTGAGTTGTTACACATTTTCTTCCCTGTCACATCGTGTGCACACAACAGTTCCCAAAAACTTTTCCCAACTACAGGTGTGTTACTGTAACCAAACTTAAAGTGTATTCTGTGGAAGATGAATGAGATGAGAATGGGACGACCTGGGGAGTGGCAAATGTTTGCTGTGCGGGTGTAAGGACCCATACTTGATTCCCTGCACCTATATAGAAAGCCATGACAGTGTGGCTTGTGATCCCAATGTTGGAAAAGGAAACAGGCAGAGAGCTCACCAGGTGGCCAGCCTCACTGAATTAATGAGTTCAGGTCCCAGTGAGAAACCCTGCCTAAAAAAAAAAAAAAAAAGATGGTTCACGAGGAACAGTATCTCCACAGTCACCCATGCATGAACATAAGCACATACACAAAATAATAATTGTTTTGGTTTCTAAAGTTATTTTAATCCAAATATTTCTTTACATTTGTACAGCCTGTATACATGTATGTATACCACATGCATGCCTAGTGCCCACAGACACCAGTAGAGAGTGTCAGATTCCCTGAAACTGGAATTCCAGAACTTTGTGAGCTGCCATGTGGTACTCTGGGAACTGAACCCTAGTTCTCTGGAAGAGTCAGTGCTCTTAACCACTGATCCATGCAGCTCTCCAACCCTGCCCCCTGTCCCAAATTATAATTTCTTTTTCTTTTAGGTTTTTCTTTTAGGTTTTTCTTTTTTTTTTTGTTTTTTTTTTTTTTTTGTTTTTGTTTTTGGTTTTTCAAGACAGGGTTTCTCTGTGTAGCCCTGGCTGTCCTGGAACTCACTCGGTAGACCAGGCTGGCCTTGAACTCAGAAATCTGCCTGCCTCTGCCTCCCAAATAATTTCTTTAAATTGTAAATGTTAGAGAGTTGGCTCAGGGTTTCGGGACACTCGCTGCTCTTGCAGAGCATCTAAGTTTGACTCTCGTCACCCACATAACACAGCATACATCTGCCTGTGACTCCAGCTCCATGGGATCCAACATACTCCTCTGACCTCTGTGGGTACCCAAACACACACACACACACACACACACACACACACACACACACACAAGTTTAATCTTTAAAAAGTATTGAAACATGTTAGCTTGATTTTCCTTTAAATGTTTTGACCTACGACCTTCCGCAGCAAGTACACATTTATTAGCAAGACTGGGGAGAAAAACACCTCAGTTAGCTTAACCTGATGAAAGAAAATAACACTCTAAAGAAAGAAAAGAGGCACTCATTCTGTGTCAGGTTCTCAAAGTAGTAACAGTAAAGTAATTGTGACTTTGTGTATGATTTTATTTTTACAAAAACTTAACACACTTATGTAATTTTCATAACACGAAAGTGTGAGAGGATTACACATGAATATTGATCCCACAGTTGGTAAATATACAAAATGTATTTTTTTGTGTATCAGACATATTGGTACAGAACTGCAACTCTAGCCCCTGAGAGGCTAACACAGGGGGATGACTAATCAGAGGCTAGCCTGGCCTACATAGCAAGACTCTCCCTGAAGAAGACCAAACGCCTAAGCCAAACAAATGAGCAAACAAACCATTGGTCAGAGGAGGCTGGAAAGATGGGCCAGTCATTGGGAGAGCTCACAGTTCTAGAACACCAAGGTTCAATTCCCAGCACCCACACGGTGGCTCACAACCCCCTGTAACTCTAGCTCCAGAGCATCCAACACTTCTGGCTTCTGAAGGCTTCTAAACTTATGTGCACATACCCACATGCAAACATACTGAGCTATACATATCTAAAAATAATACAAAAATGATACACTAAAGCATTTGGAAAGCTGTTTAGAAAGACATTTGTGGGGCTGGAGAGATGGCTCAGTGGTTAAGAGCACTGACTGCACTTCCAGAGGTCCTGAGTTCAAATCCCAGCAACCACATGGTGGCTCACAACCATCTGTAATAAGATCTGATGCCCTCTTCTGGTGTGTCTGAAGACAGCTACAGTGTATTCATAAATAATAAATAAATCTTTAAAAAAAAAAAGAATTTATAAAAAAAAAAAAAAAAAAAAAGAAAGACATTTGTGTTGGGTTTTATATTTATGGATGCTGCCAGGTTGAAGTTTCCACAGAGGACACTTGCCATATTCTACTTAATAATTAAAATAATGGAGCATATCCAAGTATGCTGTCAATAAAAGCTGACTCATCTTCTCCCAGGATTCCTCTCTGTTTGTGTGAGCTTTTTAGGAGTCTTAATATTTTCAGATTTACTTTTCTCCTCCGCATACATCTTCTCAAGGAACTACAGGGGAAAAAGAGAAAGTTTCTTCATTAGAACGCCAACTAAAAACTAAACACTTCACTCTGGCAGATTTCCTTAGGCTAGACCTTTTAAGTGGATAACTTGAGTGAGAAGCAATTGTTCAGCATCATAAATACCCAGACTGAATTCATCCTCGGCCTGTGCCCCACCTTGGGCCAGCCCAGCTCAGCAAAGGCTTATGCTGTTAAAGGCCTGGGATCTAGCTGGGTCACTGTGGACAATGTATAGACACTGGTATACATCCACACAAGAATATGTTCCCCTGTGATGTGATTGATGTGAATGCATATATAACAGAATACAGATACATTATGGGTTAGAAAGAATGAATATTCACATATATTTAAGTGACAGCATGTAAATACATACATACAGATGTGATTTGCATATATGTACATCTGTATGTAATTTACATTTGTTTTTTTTTTTCATTTTCTTGAGACAGGGGCTCACTCTGTAGCCCAGACCGGCCTTGAACTCAGAGTAATCTCCCTGCTTCAAACCTCTTGAGTGCTGGGATTACAAGTGTTTACCACATCTCACTTCACATGCTAAGATGGATTCCCTCTTTCACATGAAAGGTTTTCAGTAGGAGAGTAGCTGTAGGATATTAGAAAAAGGGACAAAATAGTGCCAGAGTCTATGTGACTGTGTTCTCAAGTGGCTCACCTTTATGCAGGGGCACAATCTCTCTGGAGTTTGTGCAGCAGAGAGCACAGCCAGTATGTCAGACATGTTCCCTTCTGTCCCTGTCAATCTGTGTGTTTATCGACAGAATGAATTACTGCAGCAGGGACAAATCTGAATTGTGGAGAGCTATGGTGCTGCTTCAAGGATATTGGCAAAAGTTTGACCTTGGGCTAGGACAAGGAAGTAGGCTTATCATCTTGATAAGTCCCTGAATACTGGAGGACTTGGTCTTGTTTGTTTCTTGACTATTTTGTTTATGCTTTGTTTGTTCCTTGACCTAGAACTGACCCTTTGCATGTAATTAGAATGGTATAAAAGCTGACTGGGAAAAAAATATCAAGGCTCCTCAGTACTGTCTGGGCTCGTGTTATCCTGTTGTCTACTAGTCTTTTCTTTTCAAACCTTACTCCCTCCTTAGAGACCCTGTTGACTGACTGAGCTGGCTTGGTCACTGAATGGAAGAAGGAAGCTGTAACAGTATAAATATTAAGGTAAACATATATAACACAAGGCTGGGAAGGTGGCTCAGTGGATAAGAATGTTTTCGGCATAAAAATCTGAATTTGAGTCCCTGGCACCTACAGAAAAAGTCAAGAATGGCCAGACATGCCTGTTACTCTAGCATTGAGGAGGGGGACAATGGGGATAGATGAATCCCAGTTCAGCCTAGACAAAATGGCTAGCTTCAAGGTAAGTGAGAGAATAAACAAAGAGTGATAAACATCTGATGTCCTGCTCTAGCCTCAGAGGGCCATACTCACACACACACACACTCATACACACACACACACACACACACACACACTATATATATATATATATACATATGTATGTACTCATGGCAGCACATGCCTATAACCTCAGCATTTAAGAGTTGGAAACAGAAGAATCAGATGTTTAAGGTTACTTTAAAAAAAGCAAAACAAATATAAACACATATATATCTTATATAATATTCAAAAGAGTATATAATGTGCAATATAAAATATTAAGCATAGTTATATGCTCTCTCTATAAAGATATACCACTACACTTAAGTGGGCTTTATATGAAGATCAAGTAGCTACTGTATGTATGTCAAACCCAGTATGATAGACTATATAGAGAATATAAAGGAAATATAGTTAGGGGGCCTATCACTGATGCTCTGAGGTGAAGGAGAAACCCCATTGAAATTTATGATGGAGTGTTCAACACTAAATCCCTACCTCGTGCTTTAAACTAGCCTAAAGCCAGGCCGTTTCTGAGCATACTCAATATATTCATTTATTCAACATTAAATACAAGCCACTCTTAGTTCTATCACTCTTGAGAAATAGATTCCAAGCCAGTGTGGTGGCACATACCTGTAAGTCTGGTACTTGGATAGCAGATCAGAGAAATCTGAAGTTAGGGGCAGCATCAGGTACATAGCGAGTTTGAGGATAGCTTGGGCTACACAAGAAGACCCTATCTCAAAACAACAACCAAGAAAGAAAGAAAGAAAGAAAGAAAGAAAGAAAGAAAGAAAGAAAGAAAGAAAGAAAGGGAAAGAGAGAGAGGGAGGGAGGGAGGGAGGGAGGGAGGGAGAGAGAGAGAGAGAGAGAGAGAGAGAGAGAGAGAGAGAGATTTAGTGTCCCATTTCTAATATCTGAGTACCTTGGCTATTCCGTCCTCTGGGGAACCTGAGGGACATGGTGGTGGACACATGCATGGACTGTCATTAGCTATGACTGGCACCATATGCCTAGGGTCCTGCTGTCTGGGTACACAGCTTGCTGCGATCTGCCCAGCTGATCTCCTGCTATGATCTTTGTATTGGAGGTATGTGTGAGTCTGCCCTATGGGAGAAGGCTGGCACACCCTTTCCATACTACAGGCCACAGCTGGATCAGGGAGAGGGCAGGACAGAAGCTGGGAGGCACCCAGACATGAACTTTTACTGGGTTTCTGTTTGGACAGAGCTCACGCTGTGTGATACAATTTTAAGTGCCCACTCCATTTCATGCTGACCCAAGCCATGTAACTGTGTCATTAGGCCTGAAAGTCCCAGAGCCCTAAGGAGTTCCTAGAGAGCACATACTGTCTTAGTAACAGGCTCTGCAAGCTCTAAACCTTGACTCCCTTCACTTTGGTCCAGAGGATAGCAGACTTCAAAGCAGCAGGAAGATGGCGCCTCTACAGTGGCATTAACCAAAGGGCACCATCTGGAAAGCAACACTGAGTTTTTATTTGACCCATCCTTCCCAAGGCTTAGTGGGATGGCGCAGGGGAGTGGGCTATTCTCATTATGTTAGGGTACTTCTCATCCAGTTGTCTTCTTCAAAGCTCTCAGCAGGGTTCTGCAAAATAACTCACCCTGGGCATCCTGTAGCCCCTGCTTAGAATGAAGTCCTTAAAGGCTGCTGTCCCTCGAAGGTCTACAAGCAGCTCCTCCTAAAAGAGCAGTTTAAAAGAGCCTGGTGAGCCGGCCAGCCTGGTCTACAGAGTTTCAGTACAGCCTTGCTATACAGAGAAACCCTGTCTCGAAAAAACAAAAAAAGAGCCTGTGGGAGAAACTTCCATGAAGCTCCTCGCTGCGAGCAAGCGCTTCCTTCTCACCGTGGGGTTCGTTAAGGAAGAGGAGAGCTTCCAAAGACGTCTGATTTCACCCTCTTGCCCTTTCTTTCCCCTTGCCCTTGTATGAAGGATAAGCAACAAGTAAAACTTTTGACTTGGGATGTCTAGAAACTAACTTATTTGATACATTATGGCCACAACTTGTATGTTTTAATTTTTTTTTAAATATTTCTTAATGAAGGAGGCAAGTGAGCTATCTCACCAGCCCCACAAGTTACAGATCTTAACTACACCAATCAAAATGGGCTTGTTTCAGTCCCAAGTCCTCTGAATAGTCTCTTGGAGTTTTCTTAGCATTTATTTGAACTCAAAAAGCAGATGTATAGCTGGGCAGTGGTGGCGCACGCCTTTAATCCCAGCACTTGGGAGGCAGAGGCAGGCAGATTTCTGAGTTCAAGGCCAGCCTGGTCTACAGAGTGAGTTCTAGGACAGCCAGAGCTACACAGAGAAACCCTGTCTCGAAAAACCTAAAAAAAGAAAAGAAGAAAGAAAGAAAGAAAGAAAGAAAGAAAGAAAGAAAGAAAGAAAGAAAAAGAAATTTGCATACTGCAATTCAACTCTTTAAGGTCACTTCAGCTTCCAAACACAGTCAGTCAAGGATAGTGAGAACTCTTGTGTTCTTGGTGAGACTGTCATGATGGCTCACAGTCGCACCTTCAGTGCAGAAGTGAAATCCTCTGTAGGCTGGGCATGGCAGGGCATGCCTGTGACCTTGACCCTTGGGAGGGTGAAGCAGGAGAATCACCAGTCCTAGGCCTCCACAAAGACTGCTGTGGAACAATCCTATTGTCTAGACTTCCCCATGTCTAAATCTCCTGACGAATAATGTTTACTGCCATAGTGATATCAACCACAACGTCCAATGGAAAAGGAAAGATACTACATCTTCTTTAGCTGATTATATGCACTCTGACACCATAAATAGCTCTTGCTGTCAAAATAAAATATTATGTTATGAGTTAAATTCACATAAATGTAGGCAATCAGAAGCCATGCACTAAAAAAAATCTACTAAGGATTATTTATTTTGGAACTTATTCAAGCATGCTGTACTTATAGAGTCATGGCATACTCAGTTCCTAAAAACAGTCTTTTATACCCAGCACTGGGAAGAGAAAATGACCTTTTTGGTCGGCCTAGTGGACTGATGGACGATTACCAATGCAGCATTAGCTACATCTGTACAGGGTTTTACTTTCCCACGTGTTTCCCTATGAGTATCGGGAGACACTCTGGTCTGCTGTAAACGGGAAGAGGTCTACAGATGAGCTTTGTCAGAGTCCTGTGAAGCATGTGTCAACACCTGCCTGTTTTCAGAGCAACGGTGATGACCTTTGCTCCAGAGATGCGTGTGCACAGGAGACAGGCCGGCACACAGCTTCTCTACAGTAGAGCAGGGCCACGTTTTGGTGGTGTGGATTTGCTGCTGGGTCATTTAACCTTTGATCCCTCTTTTAGGGAGACTCTGTAGCAACTGAGTACTGCTAATGAAACTTCCCAGGTACAGCTTTGAATTTTTTTTTTCCGTTTTTCGAGACAGAGTTTCTCTGTGTAGTTCTGGCTATCCTGGAACTCACTCTGTAGACCAGGCTGGCCTCGAACTCAGAAATCCGCCTGCCTCTGCCTCCCAAGTGCTGGGATTAAAGGCGTGCGCCACCACCGCCCGGCAGCTTTGAATTCTTTGACAGCCATCTTGTGCTGACAGGAAACCAGTTCCACAGTTAGTCTCCTGAAACTTCACCACATCACACCAATTCGGAACACTGTGGTGGGCCTAGCTCCTCAACCGCCTTTAAACATTTACTCACGGAACACACTGATCAAGATGGCAGTTGCTTATTACATGCTCTCCACAACTCTTTGCCTCTCTCATTGCTGAACTGAATACACATACCCTGAGACTTTGGGGGAACCTCCTTGCCCAACCTGCAGCCACTGTTTGTGCTCAGACAACCGGATCTCAGCATGTGAACACACCTGCTCCTGAAGCTGCTTTTTAAAATTCCAATCTTGAGCTTTGCGTGAGACCCTGGGGTCAACCAAAGGTTCATCCACTCTTTGTCTCTTCCACAAACTGGTGTTCAGATACCAGGCTCCGTACCTCATCTTCACCTGCTTCGGCTTCTGAGGGTTCTAGAGAAAGTCACATGATCCCAGGGTTGTGGTTGATGCTGCTTACTTATTAATCAGCTGATCATTTCAATAATCTAACGCTCATCTTATGAAAGGTGTGCTGTGACTTAGAATTTACAGCTAGTTCTCGCCAAAGTGTTTTACAAAGCTTCAGTGTGCTTTGGGTTTTTATAAAAGAAGCATGAAGCATTCATAATTAGGAAAAGAGAGTCACACCCAGGAACACGGGCGTTGGATGTACACAGGCCTAATTTCAGTCTTCGTTCTCTCACTAGCTGTGAGTCCATGGGTACACCACTTCAGCTATATATCAGTGAAGTGGAGATAACAGGGTTTTGATGCTGTAAGAGTGTCCGGAGGATTACAGGAGATGACATATGCAAAGCAGGTAGAAATCAGGTAAAAAAAAAATTACATATTTCACCCAAGAGTGATGATCTTGAACAAGACGGGTAAGCCAAACTAGTAAGTTAAACTCACTAAGCTCAGCACTACGCTCAGCCTCAGGAGCACTGTACTATCGTTGACCAAACTGTTTCCTACCCCCTAACCTTCTGTCCCTTTAATGGAGAGAGAAAATATGAAGGAAGAGCAGGTCTCACTCTCTTTTCTGATACTTCCATAGCTGTGCGCTAAGGAGAACTTCAAGCTGGTTCACAGCCAGATGCTGCGGACACAATGCTACACGTCTATAGCTGGATATCTTCCCACTACATTTGTATAAAGCTCAGCGATTGGGCTGTTTGAGAGGTAGGCGGAGTGAGGAGTCGGGAGGCGGGAAGAAGAGGAGCTGTAAGAGAGTGGAGGGAGGTGCAGCCATGGAGAATTAACAGAGCAGTCCTGGGTAACGATTTACGTCTTAAGGTTAGATGTTGGGAAACAACTCTGTGTGGACATCTTGTTAACTGAACATTTCCAAATATATAAATATTGGATAATCTTTATATAAGATAAGCATAAGAATCTTCATTCTACCAGGTACAGCGGGCATGGCGGGTATTCTGGGGTTCAGCCAAGCTTTGTGGAGACAGCGTGCTGGATTGGCAGAGCCAACCGCCACACTGGCGTCTCGTGTGTGTTAGGGCCAGTATTTCAAGCTAGCCAGAGCTGTGGTCCAGTGTCAGAGCTGTGGGGAAATGGCGCTGTCTAGTAACAGCCTGGATCGGGAGCCGCATTCTTAATTACCTGAAACACGTGTCATCTTATCACAGTGACTTAACTCGTGGGTGGAACACAGAGACATGACATCACAATTCTGTCTCGATCCTTCAAACATTTATTTTTATTCTTGTTATTTATTTATTTGTTTGTTTGTTTGTTTGTTTTGGGTTTTGGGAGACAGTGTTTCTCTGTATAGCCCTGGCTGTCCTGGAACTCACTCTGTAGACCACTCTGTAGGCTGGCCTTGAACTCAGAAATCCGCCTGCCTCTGCCTCCCAGGTGCTGGGATTAAAGGTGTTTGGCACCACCACTCAGCACATTTTTTTTTTTTAAGATTTTTCTTTTTACATGTATGAGTGTTTGCCTGAATGCATGTAGGGATCACATGTGTACCTCATGCCTGTGGAGGTCAGAAGTCAGTGTTAGATCCCTGGAACTAGAGTTACACATCGTTGTGAGTCACCAACCATGTGGGTGCTGGGAATTGAACCCAGGTCCTCTGCAAGAGCCACAAGTGCTTTTAACCACTGAGTCGTTTGTCTAGGCCCATATATATATTGGGGGTTGGGGGATGGGAGGTTTGCAAAGGGGAAACCGGTCCTCTGGAAGAGCAGTGAGCTTTCTTGACGTCTAAGCCATCTCTGCATTCCTCTTGTCTACATTTAAACTGTGTACTGGAAAGTGGGACAGAAGGTCAGGATACTTGGGCAAGCATTCTGAGTCCAGCTTCAGGAGGCACTGCTGCCACCAGCTTCCATATTTGATGTTTAGGACAGGCTGCCTAACTCCAGAATGTTTCACACGTGCATCAGTGCCTCCCGGGCTTCCCTCCCACACCTACTTCACACTATTTCTGGTGGTATCCTCCCAACCGCCCAGTCTAAAGTCTCAACCCTCCCACAACATGCCTTCCCTTCTTTCTTTGCCTCATGTTTCTTAGCAGTGCTGGTCACTGTCTCATGTGCTGTGTATGTTTCCTTGTCTGTCTGCCTCTCTTTGTACCCTCTGGAATACAAGCTTGGGAGGCTGTTCTCCACTGTGCCTCCCTAGCATCTAGGACACTTAGAATATAGCAGGTGTTCTCTAAATATTTGCTGAATAACAGTGCTGTTTCTTAACTCTGTCGTTGTTGACATTTGGAGTTTGAGCACTCTTGGCTGAGGAGAGGTGGCTGACCTCCTCATGGAAGGACATTTATCATGTTCCTGGTCTCTGTCTATGAGATGCTAGTGGTATCTGCTGAGGTAGGACAACCCAAGATGCCATCTGCAAACATTGCTAAATATCCTTGGGAAGAGGGGGATGGTGCAAAATCTCCCTCAGCTAAGAAACACTGAACTGAAAGTAGGGAAGCAGAGAATGGGGTAAAAGAACAGGGGAAGACTAGGAACCCAAGTGAAGAGAAGAAGTTGGTAATTTATTAGTGATCTTTTATGACTCGGCACAAGCAAGATCTCTTCTCTGAAGCCTTTATCAAAACTGTCCACACCCTGTATTTGTTGGATCGATCATTTCTTCTTACATGTGTATACACAAGACATCATTCTGTGGCAGTTAATCATTTGCCTGTTGACTTCACTAGAACTGTAAGTTCTGAGTGTAGGAAGTAGCCCTCTGTAGGAGAAAACTGCAGGCATGACCTGACAGACAGCCTGCTCAGCCCACTGTGCTTCTAAACAAGTCCGAAGTAGGATGCATAGCCGATAGCCGGCCGGCAGATGAGTCTGCATTCTCCACTTCTTTAATGTGCTTCTTCTGCAGAGAGACCCTGGTGGTGTGAGTGCTCACTATCTGTTCCAGGATAATGGGCTAACCAATGACAGTGGATAGGCTTCTACCATATAAGTGGTTCTCACATGCAATAGTAGATATTGTTTCCTAAAACTGTCTCCAGAGTGGTTCATTTCTGTACCCTGTACCAGTCCACGTGCATTGCAGTCTTGTCAGAGGACACCCTAGTAAAGACAGCAGCTCTCCAGTTTCATGTCATTTGCTAGCCACACCTTTGAACAAATTGATGCTCAGAAATGTTTATTGAATGACTAATTAAGTAAACAGATGAACTGTCATACAGAATGAAGAGGAAAATGGAGAGATAAGGACACACGGTGCTATGAAGGATGGGAATTAAAGATACAATTGATCTCCACCAAGCGACCTAGAAAAAAAAACACTCCACAGCAAAACCGGCCACATACCCTCATTTAAAAGGAGGTAGAGGTCCATGCAGGGAAAGGGGGACTTCAAACAGAATGCATGAGCAGAGGCACGGTGGGAGGGGAAAACTGTCTTAAAGAAGACCAGAGGACAGAATGTGGCAGTGCTGAGAATCCTCTGTGGGTAGAAAGCTAACAATGAGGACTTGCAGGTCCAGAATGTGATTGATTCTCCCTCCCGCTTTCCACATTCAGAACCCAGAGAAAAACAATAGTCTGCGAGATGCTGGGCCTCAGTAACCAGGACAGTAATCCCTGGGAGAAAAGGGACAAACAAAATAAGTGTCATAATTGCATGTCGACTGCAGAAAAAGAGTCTCTAGGGCACATGGGGAGGAGGAGCCCGGAAGCAGCCCAAGGGACTCCCCGACTGACTGAGGAAACAGAAGGATCAAGAATCCACGGAAAGCCAGGCAGCAGAAGTTCACAGGACAGAGCCCCAGAACAGAGAGAGGGCTCTGTGTGCGGCTGTGGTGGGGTGTGGAGCACATGTACAGGAAACCACCCAAGATTCAAGCAAAGAACCAGCTTAATGCCTGCCCCAGAGGGAAAGTATCTGATAGTTGCACAGGGCTGGGATCAGTAGCCTCTTCCTCCTGGAAGGCTTAAAGGTTCACAATGGGAAGAACACACTTAAGGTCTTGTTCAGTACTATGAAATAATTAGCCCAAGACCAAATATTACTTTATTCTTTCTCAAGAAAACTTAAAAGCAAGACCCCCAAAAGACCAGGCTTCTCCAAATAACTTGATTATAGCTCAGAACAAGTTTCAAAAATATTTATAAAACCGTAAAAGTACCCAAAACACCCATTAAGGTGAAATGCACAGTGCCTGGCATCCACTCACAAACTACCAGACATGAAGCCATGCAGGAAAACATAGCAAACCTCGAGGACAGGAACTGACACACAGCAGATTCTGACGCTATGATACAAAGACACCAAAGCAGTTTCTGAGCTGTATCTCTTATGCTTCCAAAGATTAAGTAGAGACATGGAAGGCAGATAACACACGTCAAACAACTAGAAATGGAGACTGGAATGATGAAACAAAACCACAGACATTTCAGGAAAAGAAATCACAGGGTTTACGGACCTATCAACAAAAACCATAAACAAAGAAAGAAACAAAACAGAAGCAGTGAGCTGGGACACAGGGTCAGGGCTCCTCGGGAGCAGTTCAAACGCAGGGAGAGGCCTGAGGCCAAAAACAGACTCAGGAACTAATGGTCAGAGTTTTCCCCCAAAGTTTATGAAAGAAGTACACTGCACATGTATAAGAAAATGTCAAAATGCAACCCATTACTCTGTACAAGTCATATATACTAATAATTTTCAAAAGCAAAAAAACAAACTGTGAAAAGTATATGTTCATAGGATGAAGACACTAAGTGAACCCCTACATAAGTCTAAAAAGAGAGGTGTGTGTGTGTGTGTGTGTGTGTGTGTGTGAGAGAGAGAGAGAGAGAGAGAGAGAGAGAGAGAGAGAGACAAAAAGAAAAATCTAAAAGCAACCAAAGGAAAAAACCACATTCAGAAAAACAGGTCAACATCTCATAAGAATGGTCTGAAATAATTCAATCAAAACAGTGGAGCAACAGCTTCATACGACTGAAATAAAAGCTAACACTGTGAACCTAGAACTCTGTACTCACAAAGTACTGTGTGTACATGTGTGTGCATGTACATGCGTGTGTGTGCACATGTGTACATATACTTACATGTGAGCACATGTGTGCATGCATGTCTGTGTGCGCATGTGTGTGTATGTTGTGTGTGGCGGGTGTATGCATGTACACACATGTGCAGGTCAGAGGTCACCTCTGAGTGCCAGTTCTTACTTTCTCTTGTTTGAGTAAGGATCTCTCTGTTCACTGCAGAGGTGCCAGGCTGTGAGCTCCTGAGGATTCCCCTCACCCACATCCCCTCACTCCACCACCTCACCATAGGAAAGCTGAGATCTCAGACACATGCTACTGTGTTTGGCTTTGGATGTGCTCTAGAGATTCAAGCTCAGTTCATAATGTTCATGCACCAAGCGTTTTACCGACAGAGGCATCTCCTCATCCTGAGAGAAATCGTTAAAGTTGCACACATTGGATTCTGTTTTTCTCTTCAGAGAAATAAAGCTATGTGGTAAGACGTGTAAAGAAAAACCACAGGTAATTCAGAGCTAATTAGAGATAATGTTCTGTTTTTGACTTTGAGGGAAGACGCTCCCCACTCAACACAGGCACTCAAGTCTGTTGTTGACTCGCACAGGGAGGCACATGTGCTTTATTGCACAGCAATTGAACGGAAAGTTGAAGATGCTGAGGCGGAGATGCTACCTCCCTTCAAAACACTGATGCAACTCTTCCTTCTCCTGCCATGCTTCCGTGTTTGCAGCAACATGTGCTTCTGTTAGGAAAGAGTGTGACTGAGAAGGATGCTGTGGGTGTAGAGAGATTCTCAAAGGTTAAAAGCACTTACTGCTTTTCCAGAGGACTGAGGTTCTCTCCTGCGCCCACGGTGTTCTTGCAGAGGTGGACCGTTGATGCAGTGTTTGTCCTGCAGAAGGTTGACATGGACTCAACCACCTTCAATAGCAGCTTTAGGGGATCCTATGCCTCTGGCTTCCACGGGCACCTACACTTGTGTGCACATATCCATATACAGAGATACACACACACATAACTAAAAATAATTTCTAAAAATTCTTAACCTAAAAAAAAAAAAGATGTGTGGTCAACTTGATTCAAATAAAAATTCAAGAATTCTTTGGGCTTGAGATTAATAGTGTTCAGAGTCATTGCTGGATTAGTCTTGCTGCTAAGTAATAAGCAGCAAGTTATTAATATAACTAGGGGTTATGGTTTCAATTTAGGAAAAGCATTAAAAAGTCTGTCTCTAAAAACGGATAGTCACTAACAATTCCAAATGATATGTCCTCTTCAATACAAACCATTATTATAGATATTAAATATTCATTCTCTTATCAAATATTTATTAAATGTGATAACATTCTGGGAGATGCTCTTTAAAAAGCCAGAGTCCCGGGCTGGAGAGATGGCTCAGTGGTTAAGAGCACTGACTGCACTTCCAGAGGTCCTGAGTTCAAATCCCAGCAACCACATGGTGGCTCACAACCATCTGTAATGAGATCTGATGCCCTCTTCTGGTGTCTCTGAAGACAGCAGTGTATTCATATATAATAAATAAATAAATCTTAAAAAAAAAAAAAAAGCCAGAGTCCTAGAGAACCAGAATGCAAGAACGTTTAAAACTTTAAGATAACTTGGTTTCCTTAGATTTTTGGTTAGTTCTCCTGTGGTCGTCTGTGTTTTCTGAAGTCACCTCTCATGGTCTGGTTTATAGCACAACTCTGTCTCCTGTCGTTTCCTCAGCCAGTTTTCTTCCTCGGCTCTCAACGTACCTGGTTTACCCTCAGCCTGTGAAGCTCCTCACAGCTGCGTCTGGTCTGATAGTCAATGTCAAACTGCTGCAGAACCAACTCTTCGTTGATGGTGGAACTTCCCTGAAAGAACGCTACAATGTATGAATGGAAGACAGATGGCCAGGAGCTCCCTGCTTCCTCCCTTCAGCTCAAGAAGTGTTGACCACTCCTGAGAGATAGGGCGTTTGGAGGAAAAGTAGACAATGCTCAGGGAACGTTCATTGGAGACAGAAGTACCTGGAGCGGCATGGCTTTTCTAGTCTAAGGAGATTAATTTAGTAGCTGAAAGAAGCCATGAGTCCCTGTGGAAATACTGTCTGACCAAACACAAATTTTTCTGACACCTTGTAGCAATAATATTCTTAGAATGCTTTTCAAGTGTATCTTTAAAAAAGAAAAAGTGTATGTGTATGTTGCTGAAAATCTGTGCCAGGTGTGTCCAGGTGACAGGCCAGAAGAGCTAGTGGTATGCCCTATAGCAGGAGCTGGGGGCAGTTGCGAGCTGTGGTGGGTGTTGAGAAATGAACCTAGGTCCTCTCAGCCACTGAGCCATCTGCCCAGGCCCTCTCCATGGCCCAGTTTAAAGAGGCTATTTCAACCTTTTTGTACACAGAATAACACTGTCCTTGCCTGTTCCCTGGACACAGTTGGTAGAGGTAGAAATGAATGCCCTGAGTGGCTCAAGGAGATGACTTTTGTCCTAACCCTGAAAGACTACTAGAGTCAGAATAATCCCACTCTGGGAGATAACCGTTGGGAAACAGAGAGGGTAGGGTGAGTGGGAGTTGGGTATGAAGTAGTATTTACGGAGGGGAGTGTGAACCAGGGTCAGAGCCTTAAACTCGTGGAACACCAACAGAACAAGACTTGGGATAGTAATGAGAAGAAACACAGCAAGCACAATCAATGAAGTGCAAGAATCCATAGTGTAGAAAGAAAAGTGCCAAGTTCCTGTTCCTCACACCACAGACTGCTGCGGTACAGGAGAGTTTGAGGGCCTATAGGACTCTGGTTATAGAGACTAGAAACACAGCAAGCTGGCAGAACAGCTCAGCTGAAGTCTCAGGGTTGGTATTGTGAGTGTTGTTTTGTTTCATTTTCTTATTATAAAGAAAACTTTATTGACCTTTGTTTCCTTAGATGTTCCCAGGCTTCTCCAGCTTAGCTAGCTGCAGAGATGAACTGTGCACGAGCAAACACTGAGGGAGCTACTGGGGCTGTGAGGGTGACTCAGCTGGCAAAGGCCTGAAAGGCCTGCTGGGACATACTTGAGTTAAGCTCCCAGAACTCTCAGAGAAGAGCCAGGCATGCTGGCATGCACTTGCAATCCCAGCAGGAGCGGAGGCAGGTGGATTCCTGGGGCTTGCTGGCCAGCCAGCTTAGCCTAATTGGTGAGCTCCAGGCCAGGGAGAGACCCTGCCCCAAAATTGTGTTTGGCATCTGAAGAGCAACAATTGAAGTTACCCTTTGGCATTCCTGAGTAGACATATACACACTCATATACACCCCCCCACACACACACACCCCCACCCCTACATACATACATGCATGCACACATACATGCACACAGAACTAAGGATGAGCTTGTGCTTTAAATATCAGAGTTCTAGATCAGATTCCTAAAAAGACTTTTTAGAGGCAACCGCCCCATGAAACAGCTCCCAGGAACATTGTTTATCATATTCTCCAAAAACTAACTAACTAACTAACTAACTCTCTCTCTCTCTCTCTCTCTCTCTCCCTCCCTCCCTCCCTCCCTCCCTCCCTCCCCCCCCCACAATTTAAGTTTATGTCCTTGTGTGTGTGCACAGGCATTTTGCATGCCATGGCATGTGTGTGGCATGTGTTCTTGCACGAAGAAGCCACTTCTGTTCGTCCAGCATGTGGGTCCCAGGACTCAAACTCGGGTCACTGGGGTTGGGAGCAAGCCCTTTTATTTTCTGAGCCATCTAGCCAGTCCCTTGGCTTGCTTCATTCTCAAAAGCCTCATCAAGACCCTCCATAAGACCTGACTTCACCTGCTTCCTCTCCAGTAGAAAGTGATATTTTTCCATCGATGGATTGCTCTTTAAACAGAAATGAAGTTTGGGGGGGGGGTGTTGTTCATTTGTTTGGTTTTTTGTTTGTTTGTTTTTTATCGTCTGCCATAGCTGTTCTGTGACCCATCTTCTTCCTTCACCAGTGCAAAGGTGTGTGTCTGTAAATATGATGCCTTCCCCAGGGTTTACGGTTTCATCTTATCGGGGAGGACATAGGACTGCAGAGGAGGGGGCTGGTGCTCAGGGATCAGGGAGGACATAGGACTGCAGAGGAGGGGGCTGGTACTCAGGGATCAGGGAGGACATAGGACTGCAGAGGAGGGGGCTGCTGCTCAGGGATCTTGGGCAGACCTGCTGGCATTCAGCTCTCATCCACAAGTGGGGTGACAGTAGGAGAGACAGCATGGAAGGTGGAGGGAATGCTAGGCCACTTTTTCCAAAAGTCAGGAAACAGGACCAACAAGATGGCTCAGTGGAAAACACAGCCGATGACCATTTTTAGTGTTTCTCTAAATGCTCAAAAAGGTTGGAGGAGAGAAGAGACTCCATGAGGTTGTCTTCAAACCTCCACATTCTCATTGGGGCGTGCACACAACCACACGTACATACCGCATACACAATAATAGTAATAATAGTAATAATAATTATTATTTATAAAGTGTGAAATGCCACAGGAGTGAAGGATGGAGATTCCTGTAACTAAAGTGGGAATGGAAGCCATGGAGGCCACAGCCATGGTGCAAGATAGAAAAGTGAATATTCAAAATAGTTCTGAGCTTACAAACTTTGCAGAAGTTTCTTGTGCCCAAAACTTTCTGAGGTCAATGACTGAGCAGACAAGTTTTCATCATGGCTGATGATTTGAGAATTTGACTCTAATAATGTTTAATTGAAGTAACTTTGAGCTTGATGTGTTTCTTCCACACCAGGGATCGAGCCAAGGGCTTCACACGCTGAGCTTGACTCTATTTTTGAAGATATATTTATTTATTTTATGTGCGTACACTGTGTCTGTCTTCAGACACACCAAAAGAGGGCATCAGATTACATTACAGATGGTTGTGAGCCACCATGTGGTTGCTGGGAATTGAACTCAGGACCTCTGGAAGAGCAGTCAACATTTTTAACCACTGAGCCATCTCTCCAGCCCCTGAGCTTGACTCTTGATGGTAACTTTAGGTATCACTGCTAACTTACAAGATCGGTGGCCCAGCGGCAGAAGTCGCTGACTCCTCTGCGTACGTCATCATGGAGGAAACTGTCTTTATAGATTGAATCCACTTTGCTTGGCTTTTCTTCACAAAGCCACTGGCCTGAACGTGACGTCAGCATCTTCTTGGGTCTACACACAATGAGATCATCAAAGAATTGAGCATGAGGCCGGGTGAATCCAAGTAGATCTCAAGCAGTATCGCTGGGAAATGATCAGCACTCTCAAGGTCTCTAAAAGGTCACATGAGCTATAGCTTCAAATACCACGTTCCCCTCTTCAGTACTAGAAAGGCAAGTGTGTCATGGTGTGTCATACTGATTAAAACTTAAGATTAAATCAAGCGTTATGTCAGCTTTGAAAGTTACAAGTACTACTTATTAATTAATACAGGTACCAGGTAGAAGCTACTGCACTTGAAGTTGACCTGTAATCTTTAGAAAAACGAGCATCTTTGACAATGAGCTCTCTCCCTCATTCTCATTCTCTCTCTCTCTCTCTCTCTCTCTCTCTCTCTCTCTCTCTCTCTCT